CATGTTTTCTTATGACTTTAAAACAAATGTTTATAAAAATGTATAAATCATTAATAGGGACTTTTGTTGTAACTGTTTGAATTGCCACAATAAAATAAACTATCACACGACTCATTTGACTCCTTTCAAAAGTAAACGATCCATGCACAGAACATACTTATTGAAAAAAGTAATTTTCCAAAAAATTGTGATTTGTCACGTTTCATAAATAAACGGTTCATAATATATAAGGTTATCAATCTGTTGCCCTCGCGGCAGTTAAAAAATATCTCAGTTAACCGTTTAGAAAATAATGTATTGAACATTATTCGTTTATAATATCCGGATAATTATTATTATTATTATTAATCACTATATTGTTTTTCAACGAAATATTATCACGAAATCTTACAGGACGAATTACTATAGCTGTGCGGTATCTTGGCGGCATCCAGATAAGAGTGTCCATTGTTGTGGCAAGTCGCATCATCGCCGTGTAATCTATAAATGGATAACGGCGGTGTACCTAAATAGCTGCAGCCGTTGACACGGTGCACATTTGCAGTACCTGTACTCCTACATCACCTGACTAGGTCGACCGAACATCATCGTGTCTGTTATCTATACGCCGTAGCGCGTTGGCGACAAAACTAAGAAAACACAGTTCTTTGACGATAATAGCAATATTATAGTGTTGTAGTTAACGGGGAAATATAAAGTGGGTACGTTCCGGATTGGCATGGCGATTGAACGCGTCGAAATTAGTTTCGGGTCGTTAAAATATATGTTTAAGACGAAGAAAAAAACGGGTCTTTGCTCTTTTGACAAACTATATTCTGACGCTTAGTGCCGGCGAAACGAGGTGAGTTTGCGAATCATCGTTGAATTGTTTTGAAGTCATAATAATATTCGGATATAAAAAACGGTAATAACGGCGGAAGATGTAAAACATAATATTAAAATAATGATTTACTGGCTGTTTTCACGCCGGCAAAAACGGTCGAAGAAAGTTGACCGCCCTTTACGGAATTCAGCAAAACGGCGCGGCGGGAGGGGGGGGGGTATAATAACGAAAATCTAAATGGAAAATAAAACTGGTTTTGGAAAGTTCCCGGCAGAGTATAGAGAAAGGAGATGGCGTTGGCTATCTCTGACCACTGAATCTCGAGACGGGATTGTAAATTGTTGTATTTAAAAAACGTACGTGTACGTACCGCCGTGGAAATAATAAAAAATTATAATAATTATTATTACTATACCGGCGGTGAAAAATTATTTTTTAAACATTTGCCGAGTAAATGCCAAATGGAAATGCAACCGCCCGTCGCGGCCGGACACGATCAAGCAGAGTGAAACGGCATATTATGTATCGATATTTGGCTTTGTCGGTCCAAAAGCAAATAGAAACACTGCTACAGCTGCTGTGTAGGTAATAAATTCACAGACAGTTAATTTTTTGTTCTTCAATTAAAATATACTCAGAGCTAACGGTAAAAATCGTGCCGGCCGATTGTATAATAAATTCAGATCAATAAAACCGTACTTAGACTTTCGAACATTTCAGGAACACGTTTTAGTTGACCAGCTTTGAGTATTGTTTAAGGTTAGGGAGATATTATATTTGCTGGCGCGCATTGGTTGATCAGAAAAATTCTTAAGCTGTTTGTCAACGTTGGGAATTATCTATTATACGAATGTTTAACTATAATCTTATTTTATCTTGTTTACATGTTGTGTCACGCGGGAGTAACAACAACATCTTCGTTTATTTAAATTAGGTACTTAAATGTTAAATAAATGTGTTAGTACGTTTTTAATTTTTTCATGTAATATGACGTTGTTATATTATAATATTTGTTAAGTCTTTTCTTTATAAGCGTTTTGTCAATTCTATTAGTTAATGTTTTTAATTAGCGAATTTTTCAATTTGTATTCATAAAAATGGTATATATGTTCATATATTTATCTTAGAATTGTATTCGTCTTTATCTAGATACAATTTAAATTAATAGTCTAACATCTTATCTAGATTGTTTTTTAGTTATATTAACCCAACATAGATCCTAAACTCTAATACACAACTCCAACGACAGCCCTTGTCGGCTCATGTGTTTACTAATTTATACCAGTTTTCAATATTAAATATTATATTAAGCTACTGGAACCAACATATTATTGTCTTGGTAGATATTAGACAGTGAAGTTCGAACGAAATTGGAACTTGGATTAAATGTGTTTTTATTTTGTTATTTTCAACGAGGTTAAGTCGTTTTTGCCAACGGGCGTCGTGGTGTTGTCAAAAATAAAATACGTCCAAGATAATTGTTTTTTATGATGAGTGTGGAGACTTATACGCCTTTAACTTTGGGGATAGCACCGCCGGAAACACCAATTGCGGAGCACGGCTCGTTCAATAGACACACACGCCGGTTTCTCGGCCGAATATCATATTATTATATTATTATTATTGTCTTGACGGAGGTCTGCTTGTGCTGAAGCATCACACACACACTGTAAGACTTGGGCACGACCACGTAACCGCTTAGACTATTATTATGTATTCACGGCGATATTATTTAATATAAAGCGCTTTGTTCGTGTCGTCTTTGCGTTGGCGGATGGTTTTCCTATCTCATCCCATCACCCACCACAAAAATGTTCACCTACCCCTGGATCGTAGGTTTTCATGTAGTTATAAAAAAAACAATAAAAAGAAAGTAACCGTAGTCCAAACAGAGTGCATCGCATCGTTTGAGTTGACTTATATTGTCCTTAAAATAATTTTTACGAGTATAACTTTCTTCGACCAACCCTTTATGAAGTCCCTATTATAACGGTTAAAGAGAACAAACACAAGTCGTTTCGTTCAAGCTCGGTTTGCAGCATTGTATATATTGTATTTTTTATTGAGTCAATTATTATCAATGCCAATTGGTATACTTAATGGGCAGACCAGAAATGACAAGAGCAACTAAAGGATTTTATTATGTTTCATTATTTGCCTAGTATAAAGCATCTATATATGGTCTAATTAAAGCCTCTTCTTATATACACACCATATTATTATGTATTGGTCATGTTTTGTTTAATATGTGCACGGGCAATTCATTTTTAAATCACAAGTAAAACGGAAATTTCACTGACAAAATCGTTACATTAATACAACAACAACTTCTGTTAATAGAAGATAGTTGAGATTTGATTGTTTGAAATGGCTTTCTTAGATAGAGACACGTAAGTGTGCTCGTATATAGGTAAATATTGCACAATTTTTTTTAAATATAAAAACAATATTTGTTTAATGGTCTTTTTTTCATGTTATTTTTTAATTGCTGCACACTTTTCCAGTTGTGTCGTACCGCGTTGGTACGGGTGACACATTATAACAATTAAATTTTCATCACAGATGCTGTCATAAAAAAGTAATAGATGTCATGATAAAAAAAATATAATATAAGAAACCGTGTCCCTTTAGGTTAAATCACAAGGCAACAAGTCGAGTATAAATCATAACCATAACACGGTTATTATTACAGTTGACGACCTTTTTGGGAACGTTTCAATCGGTCGCCTTTGCTTGTTTTCTGTTCTATATAAAAGTTTATACAATCAAACGTTCGACTATTTTTTACACAAAAGCCAAGCGATAGTTCTGTTTGGTTTCCGGCGGGCATGTTATTTTATTCAAACCAAACACAAACCAAACACTACTATTGCCCGTTGTTCGATCAGACCGCACACGATATTGTGTTATACACACATGCTGTTTACGGAATCGATCCACACGGTCAAAGCCTCTAAGCTGAAAAAAACTACTCTGAACGATTTGAAGTAAAAAAACAAAAAGAAACGCTATTAAACCAACAATAATATTATGTAAACACCACAAAAGAAACTAGCCGGGTGTAAAGTCTACACTGGAAAACCGAAAGTATTACGTTTAGTGTATGGGTTATAACCTAAGTACAATCCGTTACATCTAGAATATTAAGTATATTATGCTTTGATAGAACTATGTAGAAATTATTTTTGAAAATTTTGATAGAAGATACAGTTGCCCAAAGGTATTATTTTTAGATAATGAATTTATAAAATTTAGTTTAATTCGTTTAGAAGATCTCTGCTCGAGTTTCGCCTCGGACGACGGGGCTTCCGGTATTTGTGGAAGTGGGAAGTGTATGGTTTAGAAGTTTACCGTGAACTAGCAGGTAACTTAGTTCGGCTTGGTTAGCTGTTATCGTTGGTATGTTGAGCTCAGAGTGGATACTTCGCTGGAGACACATAAAAAGGGCTTTAGTACTTTGTTCTTAGGATATGTGTTAGTTGTACAGGATAATTGTTGAAATAAATATATAGATTAGGTTGTAGTGCTTGCAGGCACAGCTGATGTTGTGCTGTATTATGCTAAGGCATTACTGGCGCGTGCCTTTAACAGTTTTTTAAGGGATTTGAGGGTTTAGAGTTTTGGACAACGAGGGAGCAGCCGTGAGCCCCTCGGCTGATGTGGTTTAACGGATCTGGAAACGCGTTACCCCGACAGAGATCGGTTATGGTCGGGAATAAAACAGTGTACACAACAGAACTTAACGGACAACAAGCAATGAAGTATAAAATTTGACAAAATAAATTGTCATTCAATTAAATAATATTCCGCGTTGACTGCTGAACCATTAAAAACGTGTGCGTATGTGCGTTGATAACCAATCAACTGTATCAAATGTATTTGCTTTTTACTAGGAAGACTTTTTATACTTATGTGTGATATATATATATATATTTGTTTTTTATAATATTAAAAACGATATAAACCTTGGCGTTTCAATCATTGTAGTCAGTCGTTTTAAATCACAAACACTTCAACAAAATTTGTTGTTTACGATTAAGCAAAGCTAGCAGTTACCTTGAACCATTGTTGTTCGCTGTAAAGCGTTTCTGTTCAGAGTTGACATCACAAACCCGAGCAAAGTTTGGGTTCAAGGGACTACTTGTATACAGTATAATGCATTATATTTTGTACTCACGGCGAAAATGAAATTGAAAAAGAACAGCAGGTATTTAACGGTTGTCGTTCCAAATCCCATTTTGGAGGATTTTCGTTTCTCTTTGGTCTTGCTCACAAACAATTAACAAACAAAAAAAAAATATATGCTACACTTTTTGTATGCGCACAAACAACAATAAAAGTATTATTATTTAATTATGAAATAAATGAAGAACTTAACGACCGGTTCTGTGAACTGCACTAACACACTGGTAAACAACAACTGTTGATCGTCAACGCAGGTCGCAACAGAAATCAAATCCACCAGGGGCCGCGGTACTTTATCGTGGGAAACGACACAAAGCGGCCGCTCTATCTGCCGGCCTGCTTTTTAAGTATAATAATACTGTGTACTTGATATTATAGTATTAAATTATTGTGACTAATACTACACGCCCAACTGTCGCCGCACACTGGGCTTTGCATAAGTAAACTAGGTACATTAACAATCATTTTTAAGCTATCGAATAAAATACCTCGAGCTTGCTTGGAAAGTATTCTTATTAAAATCGAGTGACACTCCTCCGGACGCCTTTAGAATAATTATCTAAAACCAGATCATGCGTTCTTGCATGAAATTCGAACAGAAAATCTTTAAATAAAGCGCTAATTTCTTTTTAAAAAAATATGGAGGAATACTAAAAATATAAAATATTAAACTGAAATAATTAATTAACTAAAAATAATATTTTAATTTTGTGACGATCGATGCCTTGAAAATTTTTTGAAGAATTCATGGTTTTTTTTTTTTAAACTTAAATCAGAGTATTCTTAGGAACAGTATGATTGAAGTAGAATAAGTTGTTTTCGAGTAAAACTACACACCTACGGCTTAGTAAAACTACGGCCCTTTAACTTAAATACCTGATACCTTTTTCATGAAAATTACAAATAAACAAAAATAGTCAAATAAAACAAAAAACGCAATGGTATAAAATTTGTTTTGGCTTAAGAAAACAAAAAAAAAATAAACAAAAATACCTGTGTTTAAACTTCGCCAAACATAAAATCCTTATATTGTTGAATAAAAATATGGTCAGAACAAATATAAAATAAGCAATTGTTTTATTAAAGTATGCTACTACAACACGAACGCTTATTGTAAATTGTCAAATCGCTCAGTTACATTGAACAAAATAGTATATTGTTATCGTTTGATTTAAGTGCAGTAACAATTCGTTAATTGTTTTTATAAAAAAAACCTGACATAAAGAACTAAAAAATTCAAATTATAAAGTGGTGACATTTTGTGTAACGTCTCTCAAATTTGTTTAACCGAGTAAATTGACCTGAAGACAGAAATATGGTTTGTTCTGAACTACTGAAGAAAATTGTCTTGGGTTTGATGCTGCTTATGTGCTCAACGGTACAATCATTAGATACCGGATACCAATATCACAGAGAAGATCTTATTACAGAAGATAGTCTTAATCATGATTTGAAATGTGCATACCTGTATAGTGGATTGACACACATGAAGTTAACTCTGATTTTAATTGTCCCTCCTTATAATTTGCCAATAACACTGAACGCCGGTAATTTAACCAATTACAGTTACGTTATAAAACATCAGATAGCTTCACTGTACAGTTTAAAAGTAAGGCACATGGATCTTTGTGGCTACTGCATTTGTACATAAGTTTGATAACTGCTTTGCCTGAAATTCCAAAAGATATACTAGCAGAATGCTTGAAACTTGTGGCCACACACAAATTTGTCATACAAAAACTGCGTAAAGACCTAGCCGAATGTCGTGATCGTAATTGCTATGATAAATTCAACGATTTGATTAACTCAAAACCTAATCCGACGCTAGAAGATTTGACCGGTATGGTATACGAAAACTATTATACAGCCAAAAATCTGCCAATTAAAAACTATGTATGGTCGAAGTATAGTGAAAAGTTTATGGAAACTTTAAAAATCAAAAGTCATTTGATGAACAACATAAGTCAGTCATTACCAGAATACGATTGGAAAAATCTCATCTCGATGCGCGTTTACTGGACTGGTCTACCGACAACCTTCAAAATATAAAATCATACTATACGGTGAATTTATCATATCAGATACCTTATGAAAGTTCGATGAGTGCTGAAATAAAAAGTATGATAACTACAACGAGCCGCGTACCGATTGAGTACAACAGTTTGGAAAACACTAGAATTTTCTCGTTTTATCTCGGTCGGTTGTTTACTAATGTCGACTTCAACCTCATCCAGTTACTCATAGAATATATTGATGAAATATGTAACCATGATAATGATACGGAGAAGTTCGAAAATGTTCATCTCGCTTCCTCAGATTTTAACTACTTGTAATATTTCCGATTATACTTACTATCAACCCTTATCACATTGACCCATGCATATTAATAAATACTTTTATGGTATGTTTTTTTTAATGATATTTTGAATTTACCAACCGGCCAGTCTATAATGTGTTCAGTAGTATATTCACAACACAATAAGTTTATATAACTGTAAAATACAGTTGATATTAAAAAACATATATATTTTTATTATAAACACATTTGTAATATCTATAAGACTATTTTTATTTGTATAGAACAGTTTTCATCATCAACCGATTTGTATATATTTAAAAGTTATTTTACCGCTTTTATTTATGATATTTCCTAAAGGTTTAAGTTCTCTCTATGCCTACTATGTTTTGCCCCTTTGTTGCAATTCAACATGGTTTAGATTTTAAGTTATAGGAAAAACAGTTTAAACATGTGGCTAATTTTGACTAAGCCTAAAAAAACAAAACAACCTCATAATGAATCAATTTTATTTATGTTATGATAAAATTATAAAATAGTCAAAATAAATGATGTAAAACCGATAGATGCAGTACAAATTCGTTCGTTATTTTTCTTTCATAAAAGGTTAATGTTTCTTTTGATAATATGTTATGTATAGTAGACAGACGTCGTAGTTATACGATTAGTTTGTAATGGTCTAAGCGCAAACCGTCATTCTATTTTTTGGTACTTTCAACATTGTTTTTTGTTTAAATTTTGGAGTCATAAAATAACTTTAAGTAATTTTACATTATACCGGTGTTTTTTTTAATAAAACACATAATAAATATATATGCTGTTTCGCCCTTTTATATATAATAAGGCGCTGAAGGTAGTCTACATTGAGCGCAAATTGAGTTGCCTATACTCTAGCCGTTAAGGCACCTTCAAGTTGTCTTGTTTGAGAGTCGAAGGCGGCAAAATTTGTATTGTAAAAAGTTTATAATGTAAATTAACCTTATTATGTGACCCAATAATCACGGATGCTGAAGGTCATTAAAAAAAAAAAATCAAGTTGGTAAATATTCATTCAAATGAAATATAGATTAGTAGTACATGCAAAATAAACCTTGGCATTATGACTCGCCAGATGAAATTGTAATAAGAAATTGTACATCAAAGTACTACAAATAAAATGTCATATTGCATAAATGTATCTCTAATGAGCTCTGTAACTAATATACTTATTATTACTAACTCATATTTATAAATTATAAGTAAGTTCACAAGTGTCTAGCGGTTCTAAATGACTATTACTATATTTTAATCACAAGACTTATCATTTAATTGAAATGTGATTATAAAGGAAATGCACAATACATTATATTAAATGGTATTACCTAAAAAATATAAACATAAAAATATTCTCATGTAATTACTCCTGCAGAATACAATAAGGCATCCGTCCAAATACCTATATCAAAACGATTCTGAAATAAAACATATTACTTTACAAATAATTCTTTATAAAACCTTTATTGTAGTCTCACGACATTAGTGTTTACATTCACCACTTGAGCGCGTGACGGTTTATGTAATGGAGTGTTCATATTAAACAAGGCACTTAATGCATCATAAAAAACATTAACAAAAAAAAAATTGTGTTTTTAACTCTTCAATGCAAATTATTACATATGTATTATAAATTAGTCAATTATACGTTTTCCTGACCATAATAATATTGCGTTATTACATTATATTTAGTGCACTGATTGAATACGTTCTTATTTTACTATTTTAATAATACTAGCGTGTAGATTTTGTCAAGAAACGTAGTTTCAGTATAATTTATGTAATTATGTTGTTGAAAGCAATTTCGCTGATACAGTTGAAGTTTTTCTCTTTATTTAAATGGATAATAAACCTCTTTTTTGGAAGCGTTGTACTTGAATTACCCGTTTAGTTAAAACAAAATTACATTATTAAACTGGTAGTAGCTAATCAGATTTTGATTTATTCAAATTAATACATTGAGTATTACAATATAAGCCAGAGTAATAAGATGATCACCATACACCGTGATTTTACGGCAAAATGTAAATAAAACAGACATTTTATTATTATAATTATATAATGAGAATAAAACAATCATGCTATGCACTTAGTACTGGTTAAAATTAAAATAATAAACGTCTTAATTTAATAATGGTTTTTGATAGCAGACCTATTATATTTTTTATACAAATAACACATAAATAATCCATGACTTTTCACAAACGGTCATTTCATAATTATTAATATTTAATAATGTAAAACAATACTATCTACATAGTATTGTAAAGTACTCTTAAAGCGTTTAAAACGAATTAACTTCCAACCAGTAGGTACTATATATGCTACATAGAACAATTTTTTTAGTCATAAAATCAAAAAAGGTGGTCTAAATAAACACAAATTAAACTACTGTTTTTATAAAGTGATGAGACATGAACATTTTATTTAAATCAGAATAATAAATCATAAAAAAATTGTAAGTTGATACCAAATCGTTCAGTATCAGGCAACAAGTTGGTATACGTGAAACAATTTTTAGACGAATATTACTAAGTGTGTAATAAACAGTTAATACAAATTTAAAAAACAAATATAGTGTTGTTAAATACAATTAAAATATTCAAATCGCAAACTAGTTAATTCCAATTAACAATAGTTCGTTACATTTAAGAAGCATCAAGCAAACAAGACCGACTAATAGAATTTTGCTCAGAACTATGGCGCACTCCGCAAACCTCAAGAAAACTGTTTTTTGTTTGGTGCTTTTATTTTACAAACCAGTACAATTATTTGAAACCGGTTACGAATATACCAGCAATGAATCTATCGAAAATGATAATCTCAATAATGATTTAAAATGTGCATTTCTGTTTAGTGGATTGACACACATGTTGATAACCCAGATTTTAATTGACCCTGTACATAATACGCCAACAAAACTGA